ATGAGAATATCTGAGATTTCCAGACGACGAAGCGGATGGAGGCAAACTCTTGCCAGCAAATGGAATGCGGTTGTTTTGTGAATCTTCTATTTGGCTTGCAAATCAGCATGGGCACTGCCTGTCATCACCTGAGCAGAGTGAAAGAAATCAGAACTGGGGAGCTTTCAGGCAAATTATGTGAGATACCAAGAATGCACAACATATGAAGGAACTTGCGACTGTAGCTGATGCAATACAAGGTTTCAGTGGTAGCAGCAGCAATTGCTTCGCCACAATTCTCCAATGATTGATACCTAGAAGCCAGCATGCTTCCTCAAAATGGCGCTCAAAGATGATACATGGAAGAGAACTGTGGAATATGACAACCCGCCTGGCAAATCAAATATGACGAAAACCTACAGATCATGGCTGAATGATTGGTGTGCTTTGTTGCTTTTTGCCCCGTCACCAGGAATAAGAATGACCAGGTTTCCAGTTGTATCTAGGCAACAACCTCCTCCCATGACACCCACAACAAGGTAGAATACAATATATAAGCATTCGACTACAAAATTCGATCTAATTCTAAGCCAGTGTAGAGTTGAATTGTCATTGTGGTGAGGTTTGGCTATTTGTATCGTCGTCTGCACTTCGATCGTCCAATTCATGTTTAGCGTGAAAGTACTTTGATAGGTCCAAATCCACGCTAAACATTCACGCTAAACAAGGTCACCGCACCGCACCGTTGCCGGCATATCCTGGTACGTGTACGTGTACTATCCCGGTACCGGGTACCAGGTACCGTCCGGCCAAAAAAAAAGATTTGTCGGGGAATAGAAAGCTAAAATTTTCGACCCCCAAATATCGATGAATTTTCGAATTTGTACCTATGGATGGCAGTGACGAAGAGAAACTGGCTGGACCTCCTCCAACTAGGTAATAAAGATAGTTAGCTCACATAGTACAAACGCTAAGTCAATTCATGCAGCACTTTCCGAATTTCTTTTGGCAAAGACAAGCAACAGTGAACAATTCGGATACTTCCAACTCTCAGATTGACAAAGCATATTTCTTGATTTCTGCCAAGATCACAGCAGTCGGAACCAAGTCCTTCGCAAAGTCAGGCTGTTGCTTCTTGAACACCTTGCGAACAACGTCTTGAAATCTTGTGTAGTAGAGCAGCAATTGAGTCAAAACTTGCTTCAGTATTTCCATACCATTTCGAAAGTTAGAGAAGTAACTCAGTACGTTTCGATTGATCGCTTCCATCCCCGTTCGCCAATTCGATGCAAACTCGCGCACCAAGCTCTCCACGACTTGATAGTTCACAGACTTATCATTAACCGCACCAGCGGCAAGGCTGGTTTCTGTTTGTTGCACAAATGCGATCATTTTGGAAAACCCTTGCAACAGCTCTTCTTCTACGAAGAGCTCTCTTTGCAACATCAGTAACTCGAGAACTCTGTTCAGTTCCTTACCACCCGCGACACGGCGTTCCTGGAATATGCAAACAACTTGGTCTAAGTTATTGATCATAAACACAATCTTTTTGATATTGACTGTGTGCTCCTCTGCTAGTCTTTTCAACAAAGCTATGTAGTCACCCAATAAGTCATTCAAGTCGCGCAATAGCATCTCTCCAGCACTTGCTATGGAACCGATAGAATTCATTTTCTCTCGGTTCTGTGAGGCTTGAGAATTGCTTCGTTTCAACGAGGACTTTGAGTTGCGGTCAGTCGATTGAACTTGTTTGTTTCCTTTCTGTAGAATCAACAAGACACTGCAGGTAAACTCGGCAAATCGACGGGACACGTAATGTGCGTGTAAATCAACACCGCCCAAACTGGTAGCTGTGGCTTGTTTGATACTCCGTTGGTGTATTTCCATAACTGTTTTCAGGCGTGGCCACAGGAGATTTGTCATTTGATCGAAGAAGTTGTCCAAGCTGTGGATGGTTCTCGATTGAGCTGATTTTCTAAACTGGTGTATCACCTTGATCATAAGCAGAATACACAGTGCATCGTAGCAACCAAAAAGGTAATTCTCAAGCTGTTCCAGCAAAAGCTGAAGACTGTTGGGGAAAAGAGAATCAAATGCATCGCGCTTGAAGAACTGGCGGCAGACAACGTGTTCATTGGTCACAGCGTCGACCAAATGCTGCAAGCAACTCTTCAGTAGACGCTCGTATGGATATGTGCGTTGTTCGCTCAGCGCAACATGGGCAACAACTGGAGGCTCGTGTGTGGTGTTCAAAACGTTTGCTCTACTTCCAAGGGTAAAAACATCGACTCGTTTTTTCGCCTTTGTCGTGATTGAATCTCGGAGGTATGCATCTTCTACGGCCAAGACGTCTTGCCGAGTTGCTGCGTGCTTAGTTGCATCTAACTGGATTAGTTGTGCTTGGTATGTTCGAAAAAGTGCATACATGGTATTACTCATTCGAGTTGTGTATGCTTTGAATAACTCTTGAGCGACACTTGGACTGGCATCAAGGAGAAATTCATATAAATCTGCATGATGCAAGAGTCCATGAGACTGTAAGATCCGAATATTTGTCTGAGGTTTTCGCAACAACACCATCTGTTGAAAAAAATACTCCCGGATCCTTGACACTGCAACAAGTCGGAGCTGCTTGATATGCTCTTGCATCTCCTCCCCAGCAGATGTCTCCGCCGGCGGCTTTTTACAAGCCCAATCCTGCGGGCTTTCACAATGCGTATCATTGTAGAGGCGAGAAAGTTCTTTGATTGCTTGTTGGAATTGAAGGTTAATAGCTCCTTTTGTGATCGTTTCGCACAAACGAGGACTCAAAACAATGCGGCCAAGGAACTCGCGCATTCCTATGGCAGCCGCCTTGCGATTATGTAATTGGATACCCAATCTCTTTGAAGTTTCTTGCAGCTGTCGAATATCGCCACTGAGACCTCCTAGGTCTGCTTGAAATCCGAGAAGCATTTCTTGAACACCCAACAAAACTCCATCGCAATGATCCAAGTCCTTACAAAGGCGCGCAATTTCTTGTGTCTTGCTGCGATATGCAAAAATACATTGTATTTCAAGCTCAGCAAGCTCGCCTTCCACAGTGGAACTGTAGCTTGTTAAGTCCAACGATCCGTCGGCCAATGCAGCTCTCAAAGTTGGATTTGACAAAAACTGAGCCAGATCAGTTGAAAGCTGCTCCTCGCTGAAGACTTCAGTTGACGAATCCTGTTTCGTGAAAGCAGATAGAGCAGATGCGATACCATCTCGACTCATCGCGTTATTTGATTTGGGGTGAAATACAGGTACCAGGTACTATAACTAGTCTTCAGCAACTGCAGGCAACTCAAGTAAAGTACATCTTGTAAGGAACTTCTTTAGTCTGAATTATTCTTATACGTGGTACAATTTATTGTAGGCATGGAAATTGAGTTGTGGCAAATGCGTGTCATGGGCAAAGAAGAAAAGTGATAGATATATAAAACCAGGTGAAACTTGTTGTCGTTGGGTGATTGATTCCGCTTCTATTTACTGTATCGAACAGAGATGCGTGACTCGTGATCTCTTGTAGGTCAGCGCAATGGATGTGGATCCTTTTCTTTCCACCAGCAGGTAGTGGGGGCGTTCAGGCCACGCACGAGGTGCATATAGGGGATCGTGTATGCAGAGAGTCACCAGAGGTTCAAGAAGATGAACGACGCCAGGGGTGGTTTTTCACAGTCCCAGCTGATGTAGGAAGTCGCAAAGGAGCAGAAGGGAGCGGAAGAGCAAAAGGGGCATCATTGTCAGCTGAGAGAATAATAATAATAACAACTGAAACATTAATTGATTAAATGCTATCTAGCGCATAGGATTGCTGGTGGAATGCTTGGCTGTAAAGGTCAGGTACTGGGAAGCGGCAAGTTAACAACAAGTTTGAACCATGAGAGGCATCTGACAAACAGAAGTTACTCTAGTCAGAACCAGTGGGTCCAGACTCTTCCACAAAACAGTGGTTAGGGGACTTGGTCCTTAGGATGAAAAAAGTGATGGAGAATGCGGCGTTGGGGCACCAGAGCACAGCGGTAGGCCGTGTGTTCCATTTTCACCAGCTTTCACCAGCACTCCTCCCAATCTACCAAGGGTTTGTTCAGTACTGCCCGGCGCTTGGCCGAGAGCATGCGCTGGGCAACCTTTGGAAGGTTGGTTGGGCCCATATCGGACTGGGAATGAATCCTGTCCGATGTCAATCTCCCGCTTGCTAGCCGTGTACCAGGAGCTGTCTTCAGAGTGTGCAAGATGATTGCGGTCTTTCCACATCTAGTGCCTGATCCGGATCAGTTGTTGGATCAGGCGGGAGGCCCAAAGGTTGGCGGACTTCTTGGAGCCGATGTAGGAGAAGTGAAGGGCCTGCAGGTGTCTCCATTTGTGGGACACTAGGCCTTCAAGGAGGCCCTGGGCCCCAAGCTTGGCTTGGGAGGAGATGGCACTTCGGAAGAGGCGGAGACGGCGAGACCAGGCTTGGACGGTGGGGACTCCCAAGGAAGGCTGGCGGCTGTCTTCAGGTATTCAAAGAGGAAGGCTTCAATCTCTGGGGCGGTCTGCTGAGTCTGCATCCAGGTCCGGAAGGCCAGATGGCGTTTCAACCATTCTGCAGCTGCAGTAGGGGCAGGACAGCGTGGGACATGGAGGTGATCTTCCACCGGGCAGGAGGAGCATCTGGGGCAAGAGCTCTTTGCCGAACAGTTCCAAATGGCAAAGCATTTTCCCACACCTGTCATACCAGAGATATGCTTGGGTGTCCAGCGTTGGAGATTGGTTGGGAGGGCTTTCATGGCGCGTGCCAGAGGCAACCAATTGACCTCACAGATGGACTGCTCAGAGAAGCGGTCCTTGGAGGGCAACTACGCACAAAGGGCAGGAAGAGAGACCAGCTCCATGATGTGAGCCTGATCCAGTCGGGACAACTTAATACCATCAATGAATAAAGACACAGGTTCATGGAAGAAGCGGGGGTTGGAGGCAGCCGATTGGCCTGTAGACTCCAGCAGGCGGCTGTAGGATTGTGCTTTGGAGTCAACTTCAACATTGCGCTGCTCCAACCAGTCCAATTGGGAGAAAGGACGGTGCTTATCCAGGTGACCCTTGACATGACGCCGATGAACTTGGAGAGGAAGGTGGCAAAGCAAGGCCCGGATGGTGGAGGCCAAGTCAAGCTGCGCGCCAGACGAGGACAGATGTGCTTCGGAGAAGAACTTATCCAGGGCGATGAGACCATCACAGGCCATCTCTACCAAAGGTTGGCTGGCAAGAGTTTCAGTTGGGCGAGCTGAGCCATTCATTCCAACACCAGGAGAGAAGCCATAAGGCCAATCAATTTGCTGCGCGTTGAACTCTGATCCTCAAATTTCCCAGGGGTTTGGCAGGTGATCCAGATGATATCCCTGCGATCCTCAGTGAGAATTTGAGCGCATGCTGTGCCCACTTTAGCTTTGTAAGAGCCGTCGCTCACAGCATGAAGGGTACCGGCAAGAACTGGACCAGGCAATCCTCACTACCTTCAATGGTAATGACCTCAGGAACCCAGCCGTGAGAACCTGACTCAGCCATACTGCCGAAGTGGTGCCAGAGATTAAGGATAGAAGATGGGGGGGGGGGGCAGGTGTTTTGGATGGTTGGTGAGGGCCCGTAGAGTGGAGGAGGACTCGGCTCTTGTGGATCGGTGACCGGCTAGGGAAGACAGAGACCAAGGCGCGGACGGCGTCCACTGGTAGAGGGTGGGAGATCAAGGTTGAAGCGGCGAGGCAAGTAGAAGGTGCGCTGACGGCTGGTGGAGGAAGTAGGCTCAGATGGGATCCATATCTGACCCTTGTGGTGGAACAGGGTATTGGCAGAGGGAGAGTATAGGATGGCATGTTTGATGGCTAGGTCGGTCACTTGGGTGTCCAACCATTGGTCCAGGGCATTTGCAGCTGGGTGAGAGACGAAAGATGATTGAGACGTATGTAAGTGGAAAACCTATTCCAAATGGTCGATACTTTGTTGTGATGCTGGATTTTTCACCATTCATTCTGACGTCCGAAGGATTACACATACTGCTGGCTTTTAAGGAAAGGTCTAGCGACAAGTTGTAAGAATTGGTAGGCAAGTTGTAAGAATTGGTAGCCCCATAATTATAAATCTGATGCATTAATCGTGTTTTAAAACAATCTCAAGTTTCTAGATTGCCTTTAACGGCTTGCCGTTAACGGCTGTCATGGCCATTTACCATACGGAGGTGAGTCCAGTAGTGTTGAACCAGTTTGAGGCATCCAATCCCAAGGAAGTTGCTCTATCGCAGATTACATTGCACCCTTGCACATGTAGAGAGACGATCTTGCCACTTGAGGCGGCATATTTTTATTTTGTTTTCTGTGTTTTTTCTTTTGTTGTGCTTGCCTGTATTGAAGCTTGATTTAACCTTGTGTTCTTGCTCCCTTCTACCCTGAATATATCAATCCAAATGAATGGAGAGCGTCCCATAGGCACAGTGTTCCAGAACATTGAGGTTGGTACAAGCACAAAAAAGGCGGCTGGTTGTAGTCTAAGGAGAAGCAAAGAGGGTCAGAGCCAGTAGCTTGTATCTTGGCATAGTGAGGCTGCAGATTAGTGGTGTTGTGCCTAGCTGTCCGTGGGAATGATACCAACATTTGAACATCCATAAAGGGAAATCAAATTGAGGCATCTGCCAACCGACAGAAGGCTGATGGAAGAGATAGCACTTTCCTTGCAATAGTAGGTCGCCAAGGGTTGGATTGTTGCAATAGGGGGTGTGCTTGGGAGACCTTTCAAATTTGTCAGCATAATGCTGGAAAGGTTTATCCTCAACAGCACCTTGGAGGTCCATTGGAGATGGTGTTTGGGCGCTGGAGACCTTTTGGATGGCCTGGTCTTCCTCATCATCGGAAACTGATTTGATGGCACCGCCAGAATCATCAGGAATGCCCAAAAAGGGTGCAAAGAATGGGCAAGATTGGAACATTTTTGCTTGTTCTTTTTGGACAAAATGAACCCAGTTTGCTTTCTGACCGTGAATCTTGATGTTATCCTCCTTGTCATCATCGATTTCGTCGCTGTCATCGTCGTCCAACAGGCCCAAAAAGGCAGAGGCATCAAATGGGCAGATTTTGGCCACTTTTCCCCGTTCTTTTTGGACAAGGCTTACAGGAGCATAATATGAATCATTTTCGGATACTGTTTGTGCTCTGGGGACCTTGCCTGTCTTTCTTTTGCTCATCTTGATCCTTGGTTTTCCAGTTGAAAACAACCTCTTTTCCAGCGTCTCTACGGCTGCTCCCTGTAGGAGAAGTACTAGAGGTGGTGTCTTGGAACCCAGATGTGCGTGTTGTTTTTACTTGTTGGTTTTTTCGGAATATAAGAATTGGTAGCCCCAAATTATCCTTTGGTAGATATGCTGCAAGATGTGAGGGAAACTGAAAAGGTCCTCAGTGGAAGGCCTGTTTACATTGCAGCATCGAAGAAAAGTACCAAAGAGATTGTTTGACTTTTGTTTGGGGGCGGAACAAAGATGACCTAATTGGAAACGAAACGGATGAGGGACTTCTTTCATTTCATGAAAAGATAGATCAAGAATGGAAGGCAACTCCCATTGGAAAAGGAAGCACAATTGGAACAAATTGGATTCTTCCACAAATTTCTGCTGGAGAAAGTAGAGGCATCAGCTCGTCAGGAGATTTTAGGTAAAGCACCCTTGCAGTAACCTAGAAAACAGCATGTGACTAAGAGAATGTAGGTAGTAATGAAGGTTGCCTCAAGGTTAGAATGGAGACATGCATTGTTACTTTTTACTTTTCATTGCACCATATTTGTGTTTGGATCCTTGTTCTTTTGTGGGGAGAGGCAATGCATGCTCCGCGTTGTTCCTCTGTTGCGCGATTATCTCTGGCACGTCCCCCAAAACCGTCAGCTTGGCCCTTCTTCACCATCTTTCTATTCATCCACAGCAACACAGACAATTTGTAGGATACAATGAGGAGTCTAACCGCCAATGGGCAGACTCAATTCAATATGTATGAAAGCAATATCTGATTGACAGCAAATCATAGTCTAGACATGGAATTCCATAGCAGCTAGTAAAGGGAGACGCTGCCTCGTCTGACACTCAACAACTGAAAACAACCCAAAACACTCCAAAAAAAAAGATTCCAACACCCAAGCAGATTGTATAGAAACTGGTACCTCCTTTGGTCTCTATGTCCGCCGATGCATCTGGAACGGTTTTGCAATGACACTTCTCGGACCCCTTATCACTGGCCTCAAACTGTACGACCCGGGCGTACACATTCAGTGCCTTGGTCCCCGTGACATGTTTACGGACATTTGGACAAGTCCAACTTATTTGATGAACTCACTTGGTGGGAAAAGAAAAACCTGGAGGTAGACTGCATGGCAGTGGATTTCCGCAAGGAACTTGAGGCAGCCCACTGTCAGATAATCAACTCCGTAGCTGTGATGAGAGCCTCAACGCTCTAGCTACCTCTGGAGTATACTGAGCTCGAATCTACGTCGGCTATGGATTGCCTGCAATAGGAACAGGTACCAGTGATGCTGGGCTTCTACTTGCGGATGAACAGTCTCACCACTTCCTATTAGATCTTATTCTCCTGCTATTCTTGCTAGAAGTCGATCAACAATGATCTCCACAAGGAGGTACAAAAAATCTCTTCTGGAAGCCAGCTGCGTCAGCTCTCACTAGCTGTCGCGGCGTATGAGGCACATACGCACATGTTCTTCACGAACTAGTCACGGATCTAGATCTACCTTCAATACTTATCCATCTCTGTACGTACTCAAACCGTACTCCCGTCCGTGTTCGATATCACAAATGTCCCACTTCACTGTCCGACATGTTCGACTGTTCTTTTATCTCTTAAGATCCCATTTCACCAACACACTCCTGTCATTTCGACGGCTCCAGTTGCAATAACGAATCCTTTCTTCATTTAATATATAACCGACGACGGTCATATCTAATCTTCCTGATCTCCTTGGCAGGGCCATGAGAGGCCCCAGGTCGTCTGCCGCTAGGTCACGGCGTGCAGGCAGAAGATCTCGAATTAGTGGCCCGTCAAGTGTTGTTCCCCACGCTTCACTTGACGAATATTTACGCTCTCTGCCACCAGGAGACTGCCTTGGCGATGACCATCGCTGTCGTTCTTCACTCGCTACCCGCGTCACCTTCCAGAACGTTAACGGTGTTCCGGAGGAAGGTGCTCATGTGAAACAGCGGCAGATCAACTCCTGGCTGCAAGATGAGCAAGTGGGAATAGCGTTGTTGGCGGAGGCCAAAACGTTTTGGCCCTCTATCCCAGAGGGTCATGGGTGGAACGATAGGATGCGTCAAGCTACGATGAAGGCAAAGCAC